TCTCTCGTCACTTATTCCGCTGCAGAAACCGACTTTAGCTTTGCTCTGTGATGATTTCTTAATTTCTTGAGGTAGAGCCTGCATTTGAATCCTTTGTGAATTTGCAGCAGTGCGCTACCTGAAACATAATAGCTAACATTTTGCATTAATAAAAACCCCAGTGAGGTCTACAGAAAATTTTGAATTGCACCAATTCTGATTTTTCTCATTTTCTGTCATGGATAAGGTGGTGGTGATACGGTGTATTACCACTATATCACCATATATGGTGTAATGATAGATGCATAAATGGATTCTATGATGTCACTGAGAGCAGACAGCTCTGGCTGAGCAGAGGTCTCACTCACCTGCTGTTCAAACCCTCTGTTTGCAAGTTATGGCCAATAAGGAGACAGTAGTTGCAGAGGGAGGGTGAGGAGAGCTTTAAACGCTACTTTCAGACAAAGGATGAACTGTGGGTCTGCACCAAGGCTCCATAAATGATAAATAAATGTTATTCATGATGCTAAGTTTTAAGTAATAAACTTTAATTTGGCCTTCGAGAACGTCTCTATTGTCTATTGGTTCTAGTACTTTACTCTACTGATTTGGTACTAGAACAATGCAGTCTTAACAAACAGCATGAAGAACCCCCGTCACCCTAAAGATCCCCATAATGGGGCCAGGCTTTATCTAGTATTCAAGCACAAGTCACACGTTAGTGAGTTTGAGTGAAGAGGCGTCCTATTTCAAAAACCAAAATGGAGCAGATTTATTTTTCATTTCTATTTCATTGAATTTGATTGAATTGCAGATTTTCTCTTACATTTTCAACTACACGAGTGCTACAGTTCACTGCTGTAAGGGTGTTTAAATCTCACTACGGGCTGGTAACACATTGTCTTCATTGTTTTTTAAGTGTTTCTGAGCCATAGAGTCCAAGGGATTTCAGGCTCACTGTGGCTTTACAATTGCAAAGCTGCTGCTGAAAGTCTTTTTTTCTGATCGAAAATTAAAAAAAAAAAAAAGTTAAATAGGCCAGAGCTTAGGAGGTTAATCGACTGATAAGAATTGACTTTTCTCTCACATGACTTGAAATGCTCTGACCCTATTCTGTGTCATTGTGGGAACATTTTTGCATTGAGTAGTATTTGATCCCACATTTGTCTCCAATTATTTCATCAAGTGGACCGCTCATATATGAATACATTTTTAGAATTTCACGAGCCTGTCAGTATGTGTGACACTGTCTCTGTGTGAGCACTGAGGTCTGAGAGCTCCACCCTGTGGCTTTGAAAAATATTGCAGCACATTTTATTAAAAGTCAACCCTCCTTCCTGTCTGATATCAGCTCATTCGTCCCTGTTTTCACTCATTTTAATCCCCTCTGTCTACGTCTTCTCTTCTGCTATATTCTCCTGATACTTTCATTCTCCACTTCATAATCCTACTTTTTCTAAAGTTATTCATTGAGAGCGCCTGCAGTCACATGAAATAACAATGGCTGTTTTCTTTTCTTCACATGCATACACACAGTCAACAGACAAAAATCTAGGTCTCAGATTTCTATCCCAAGTAAGCTGTCATCATCACAGGAAGTTATCACGCCAGGTTCATTTCCTTTCTGGAATGTCTAAAAGCAAAATCACTCCAGATCTTACTGTGAGCTATGAAATGGCTTTAGCCTTATTTCTAAAATTTAAATCTATACAAAAGCAGGGTTCATGGTTTTATTAAATCAAATCAAATCACTTTTATTGTCACGTCACATTGCAGGTACACTGGTACAGCACATGTGAGTGAGATCCTTGTGTGCAAGTGTCACAAGCAACAGTGGTGTGAAAAAATACAAGAAACTTAAGAAACAAGCCAGATATTAGAGCAGGAATGTGAGAATTATAAGAATAAATATATGTACAATTATAAGGATGTATGCACATTACTAATATGTATGCCAAGTATATAAATATATATACACACACACATATACATATGTGTGTGTGTATATACATCTATGCAAAATATAGAGAGGTTAGCAGTTTGAATATTGTGCAAAGAAATGGCACATATGTACAATATGGAGTCCATAGTGTTGAAGTGACAGTGAATTATTAAAAGGATTTCAAACATATGACATCATTTTTTGAAACCTTAAAAAGTTTATTGTTAGTTCTCATCATTAACAAACAAGTTAAAACAGTTGTGTAATGCTACAAAAAAACCAAAACACCTGGTGAAACATGACCAGTGTTGGGGAGTAACGGAATACATGTACCGCCGCTACGTATTTGAAATACAAAATATGAGTAACTGTATTCCGTTACAGTTACCGTTTAAAAAGGTGGTATTTAGAATACAGTTACTTTGTTGAAATAAATGGAT